TCTGAAAAGGCTTTCATTTTATGCATTTAAATTATGCCATGTAGTAAATAATAATTTACTTCAAAGCAATTATTTTATCTCTTTCTGTGGTATCTTTCCTTGTTCCTGATAGTTTGTTTTGTTCATATTAGATTCAGATGACTGTCAAAATATGTAACCATGGATGCCAGAAATAGTTTTAAAATCAGGACAGAGAGTAGAAATTTTTTTACTATTTTTCTACAAAAATAGTTACTGGAACATATTTTCTACAAAAATAGTTATTTGCTAAAAATATTCATCGTGAAATGTGGTAGAATGATTTAATGTTGGAACAACGGCTTTAACTCAAATACTGTTGGCATCAGTAAGTGCATGAGTCATTAAATGGAATAAAAAAGGTTTAGCACTCATCATTATTGAATTATTAACAAATTTCAGAAAGATACAAATTTAAACAAAGTAGCTTATAGTATACCTGTATGCCTCATAATATTTGGCACATTGTAGCACTTAATAAATGGAACCTTTTTAAAATCACATTACTCGGGGCGCCTGGGTGGCTCAGTCGGTTAAGCATACGACTTCGGCTCAGGTCATGATCTCGCGGTCTGTGAGTTCGAGCCCCGCGTCAGGCTCTGTGCTGACAGCTCAGAGCCTGGAGCCTGTTTCAGATTCTGTGTCTCCCTCTCTCTCTGACCCTCCCCCGTTCATGCTGTCTCTCCCTGTCTCAAAAATAAATGAACGTTAAAAAAATAAAATAAAATAAAATAAAATCGCATTACTATATGACTGTCAACATTTCCAATGGTGAGATTGAATGAGTGATAGGGTTAAGTTACTTACATGTTAGTCTTTTATAACAGGCTCAACTATCACCTTCTGCAAATATTTACTCGTGCATATACCTATCATCTGGATCTCTGCCTTCATGTTTACATAGTGTTCTTCCTGTGTTAGTGCCTGTCTCTAAAATTTCCCTTTTTATGTTTTTTAAAAATTTTTTAATGTTTATTTATTTTTGAGACAGAGAGAGGCAGAGCATCAACAGGGGAGGGTCAGAGAGAGAGGGAGACACAGAATCTGAAACAGGCTCCAGGCTCTGAGATGTCAGCACAGAGCCTGATGTGGGGCTTGAACTCATGGACTGCGAGATCATGACCTGAGCCGAAGTTGGATGCTTAACTGACTGAGCCACCCAGGCGCCCCTAAATTTTCCCTTTTTATAAGGACACCAGTCATATTGGATTAGGGTCCACTCTAAAAATTTCATTTTAACTTACCTCTGTAATGACCCTATATCCCAATAAGGTCACATTCGGAGGTACTGGGGGTTAAGACTTCAATGTATAAATTTGGGGGGAACACAACCCAACCAACAACACTAGGGTTATTGCCACTAATACAGCTTTTTGGATGTCCTAAATATCCTTGAATTTCAAAGTGTCTTTGATACCAAGTGTCTTTCATGCCAAGTCTATAAAATATTTCCATTAGTACTACCTCTACTTAAAGATAAATATCTTAATTCAGCATGCAAACAACCGGGATTTAGCATGTTAATTTAAGAAGACAATTATTAATCTAGTGTAACCACTTTATGGGCATTAGTGGGGGATAAATCTTTATACGTGCTATGGCATTATGGAAACAGCTGTGGCATTACTGAGGTCAAGAAATACAGAGCCAGGTCCTAACTCTGACATTCACTCACCACGGGCCATTTACCATCTGGACTGCTACTGCCTCTTCTCATCAAAAAGTTTATATGGTCTCTAAATTCCAGAAGATTCTCTGATTCCTACTCTATGTTGTTACGCTCTGTTTTGTATTATTCTTTCCTATCCCCAGACAAATATGAGCAACAGAGAGGTAAATGACATCGATAGACAAGCATATTTGCAGCACCTGTTCACAAACAGATTTTTAGAAATGGAAGACTCATCTACAGCCCTCACTTAACAAACAAACAAACAAAAAAAAGAAGCCTAGAGAGGTTAAGTGACTTGTCCAAAGACACACATACATCATTTCTAGCTTGAATAATTTCAAACAGGGCAGCAGTCCTTAAATTAAATCCACAGATCTCAGGGGGCCCATGGATGAACTTCTAAGGTCTATATTCCTCCTGAGAGTCTGTGCAAAATCTTGCGTGAATATGCATGTATATGTTTTATTTTTTTTCTGTTGAAAGGCATCCATAACTTTCACCAAATTTTCAAAGAGATCTATTTTTGTTCAAATAAACCCATAGCTCTCATTCCCTCAATGCCTGGCATACAAGAGATAATTGGTAAACATTAGTTGACATATATATATTGAGTTCTTGACCAAGAAAAAGTTTATAACCACTGAAATAGAGTAAAACAGAGTACAGTCATTCTCTGGAAATAATCCTTGGTGTCTCCTGCTCTCATAATGCTCTACCTGTGTGGAGTCTTTCATCATGCTGCAGTTCCAAATCCTGTATGAATTATATGGTAGTGTGCTTGTCTATTAAGCCAATTAAGAAAGATATTTAAATCACAATTTCATCTCCTTTAGGAAATTATCCATCTTTTTATTTAACTTTACCACTCCATTTAATTAACAAGGGTTTAATGGAAGTTAATAAATGATATATTAATTAATTTAGGAAATTACTCTGCCCTTATTAAAGTAATTCAAATTTTTAAATGCTTGTAATTTTCATTGGTTCCATCAAGTAAGACATACTATATTCATTTAAATCTGAGTTACCTTACTTTACCATTAGTCCAAGTCCCAGGAAAAATCCCCAGTGTATTTAGGACATGTGCTGGAACAATGATCAAAACAGTGACTTTGAAAAAGGCAGGGTAATGCCTTGGGCACAAGACATGTAGTATTATAGCAGAGAGCATCAGTGCCATAGAGTAGGTGCTTAATAAACATCTGACAAATCATTGAAAGAAAAAAGAAGTAGCTAATGCTGCCAGGGAGACAAAAGACCCTCTTGAACAGGGAGCCATCAACCTTAGGAGCAGGTGATAGCACATCTACCAGTGGGCTATGGAGTGTGATATAATGGTAGAATCCTTATCTGAAAGAGCATGTGTTTTTATGGGACCTTAAGAAATGGCACAAACCTGGTGATGATCAATGTGGACATCAAATACAACTGTCTGTATATAGTTATTAAACATTTCTTTTTGATAATTTATTACTAAGGACTTGCAAATATGGAATCAACCCAAAGTTCCAAGAATTGGGACCTCAAGACAGAAGAAGTATAATACTCTGCAAGAAGCAGCCCAGGCCATCTGTGCCACAGATGTGTATAACAATGAATTAAAAACCCACAAATGTTATTTGTAATAATTTATACTCTTCAGAAGCATTTACAAATGATGATTCACTTTGTCAATTAAGATTAAAAGCTCTCGGGGCGCCTGGGTGGCGCAGTCGGTTAAGCGTCCGACTTCAGCCAGGTCACGATCTCGCGGTCCGTGAGTTCGAGCCCCGCGTCAGGCTCTGGGCTGATGGCTCGGAGCCTGGAGCCTGTTTCCGATTCTGTGTCTCCCTCTCTCTCTGCCCCTCCCCCGTTCATGCTCTGTCTCTCTCTGTCCCAAAAATAAACATTGAAAAAAAAAATTTAAAAAAAAATAAATAAAAATGACTGGATTTGTACTTATAAATTTATTTATAAGTATGATTTATAGTTATAAATTAAGTATAATAGTGTTATTAAATATAATCTAGAAAGATCCTACAAAGTCTTGCTATTTTTCTTATCTAGCTTGCTAGGGTACCTTATATCACAGAGTAGATTTCTCAGTCTTAAAAACTTCCTGAAAGAGTAAATTATCAGTTTGACATCTAGGTACCACCTAAGCCTTAAAGAAATTAACACAGTAGTTTGGGCTACTCCCTTGGTGAGTGCCAAGATGACAAAGACCTTCCTCTGTCTTTATACTCCCTGGCACAAAGATCCTTGATATTTTAGAAAAGACTCAGACTTTCAATGAGATCATATTTAAACCATTTATCTTATCTGCAGTTGACATTTCTTTGTGTGGAGAGTTATTTTCCTAGCAGCTGAGAATGAAATCTTGGCAAAACTGTGGATGCTTGAATAAGATATATTGTTGTTGCAAATTCTATTTTAAACTTATTTACATTATAATCTGTTCCTTAGGTGGAATACTAGGGACTTCTTAAAATGATGTTTTAGGAGGACAGTAAATTAAAAAGGAAGTGCTATTTTAATTTTTTTTCTTTTTCATGGTATATTGAAAAACATTTTATGTAATTAATAAAAATAAATATAATGTGGTAGATAGAAACCCAGAATTAGTGGATTGCAATTCAGAAATACATTCCAGTGTAGGTACAACATTATTACACAGAAAGATTTTTCCTTTCCAAACTTCTTCCCAGCTACATCAAGAGTTCTCCCTGGTGGAAGAACAGTATAGACATTTTTCAGCGTGGAAGAACCTGTCTAAATTACCACAGGAACATATGAATATTTCCTCATAGTTCATCTGAGAAATTACTGACAACAACCCTGAATAAAGACTATGGATAACTGAGTATGAAAGACACTTGGAGTTCTTAAATACATCATCTTCTATACTGACATATAGAGATTATTTAACTTATAACTTCAAAAAAGGAGTTGATACTACGAACCATCTCATGTCATTGGGTAATTTGTGGTCAGGTTCAACGAGTCCCCTAGAGCTGATCACAAATATCAAAGTCACTTATGGTGTATAATCATTGATTGTAGCTCCCTGCCAGATTTTTTTTTTTTTAAGTGTATTTATTTATTTGAGAGAGAGACAGTGCAAGTAGGGGAGAAGCCGAGAGAGAGAGAATCCCAAGCAAGCTCCGCACTGTCAGTGCAGAGCCCGATGTGGGACACGAACCCACAAAAGGCTGTGAGATCATGACCTGAACAGAAACTAAGAGTCCAACATTTAACCCAATGAGCCACCCAGGCGCCCTCCCGGCCAGAATTTTAACTGAAAAAGTTAATGCTTCTGTTGTGTACTTACAAATGTGATGAATACAAGGAAATGAGAATTTAAGTTGTCAGAGATGGTGGTTTTTCCATCCCTGAAAGAAAAGGGGGTGTGGGATTCAGAGACTGCTAAAATAATTTTATTTATTCATATAAAATGATTATTATGTGCTAGGCTAAAGATAAAATGAGCAAGACAGAGATAACTTCTAATTGTATAGAGTTTTATGTATTTTTCACTCACAAGTAATTTTTGCACATTGTCTATGTATCAACATTGTAGATTTGGTGGTGATGGGAAAGTGGAAGGAACCCATTGTGCCTAGTCTTGAAAAGTAACAATAAGGGGCGCCTGGGTGGCTCAGTCGGTTGAGCGTCCGTCTTCGGCTCAGGTCATGATCTCACAGTTTGTGAGTTTGAGCCCTGTGTCGGGCTCTGTGCTGACAGCTCAGAGCCTGGAACCTGTTTCAGATTCTGTGTCTCCCTCTCTCTCTGCTCCTCCCCTGCTCATGCTCTGTCTCTCTCTTTCTCTCTCTCAAAAATAAATAAACATTAAAAAAAAATTAAAAAAAAAGAAAAGTAACAATGAAATCTATTTGTGTTGGAGATATTGAGGAAACAACACCATTTAAAAAATGAAAGGTGGGGCGCCTGGGTGGCGCAGTCGGTTAAGCGTCCGACTTCAGCCAGGTCACGATCTCGCGGTCCGTGAGTTCGAGCCCCGCGTCGGGCTCTGGGCTGATGGCTCAGAGCCTGGAGCCTGTTTCCGATTCTGTGTCTCCCTCTCTCTCTGCCCCTCCCCCGTCCATGCTCTGTCTCTCTCTGTCCCAAAAATAAATAAACGTTGAAAAATAAATAAATAAATAAATAAAAAATAAAAAATGAAAGGGGACAACTACCAGATACAATTTCGGTAAATGTGCAGTGAGTGGTGTAGGCAGAATAACTTGAGGTAAAATTATTTAAGTAGATGAGTCTGACTTCAGTGCTCTGATATGTATTTCCTTTCTTTGGGTGTCTCTGAAGCTCCCTGGCACTTTGCTAAGGTTTCCCCTTGATATTCACCATCCGTAGCCTTGGAGCCAATCCAAGGTCAAATAACTACAGTAATTTCATAAACTAATTTCTACCAAAGTGTCATGGGAAATAATTTAGGGCTATTCTACTAAATAAAAAAATTAGAATTTTAACTTCAGCCCTATAGGGACACCTGGAATAACAACAATGCCTTGTATCTTCATTGTGCTAAGTTATTTACATCAATGTAAGGTAGAATGTTAAGCAGTAAAGGGCTATGGAGATGAGTAAGATGTTAACTCCGTCTATGAAGGGCCTCATTGCTGACCTTAGCTATGCACATCTCAAGCCGACACTGCTATAACTAACTTGTACTAATATTAATTTTCCTGTTAATTTGCTTGCTTCCATTTATTCTACTTTAAATGTGTCATTTTGTTGTTTCACCTGTTACATTGTAACTTCCTAAGGAACTTTCCATCTCCTTGAAACCAGAAACCATGTCCTCCAGTCTCTTAGTCCTTTTTTTTTTTTTTACTCTCTTTATTCTATCTCCCCAGTCCCCAAGACAGTACATTTTAAGCTATGGTTTTCTATCAATTAACAGATCATGAAAGCAATTTTGTAAGCCTCCTATCAACATCTTCAAATGAAATAGAATAGAACCTAAGAAAATGGAAAATTTCTGAGTGCCTCTACCCAAGGTGAGGGTAAGGACTTGGTAAAACTCTGACACAGTGAGGGCTGTGTGTCAATGTGTGTTAGGCTGTGATATAAAATGTAGCTCTTACTAAGTTTTGGTCAGAACACCTTGGGAAACATGGTCAGGTGTTTACTCAGTATTTGCCTAAAACTTTTTTGCAAATTTATTTGGATCCCTCTAGCAGTCATTCCCAGGTTCCTGACTTATTTCCCTTTGGATTTGCTGGTGGTTTCCCTTATTTGTTCCAAGCATCACCTAATGACCTCTTGGATTCAACCCTTGGATCGAAGCCTGACCTTTGGATCATAGGCTGACCCTGCACACTGCTGTCCACATCAACCCAGCCTGCCTGGATGCCTCTTGACATTCTTCCACCCCACATTGTACCAGATGCCCCCTGGCCTCAGGAAAAAGCCCAAAAAATGATGATGGCAAATATCCTAGTATACGTAAATGCATATACCTGCCTCTTTTAGGGGTCAGCATCTAATACCTTCTTGCTATGTTAAAGTAACTGACTTTACTACCTAAGGGGGAGAAAAAGACTCAGGAAATTAACATTGCTTAGAGCTGCCTGGGAGTAAAATTCTAATTCATGGAAGAGCACTTAAATTCATGATCTTAAATTAGCAACTTAGCCAAATTTTGAAAGTAGAGCAGCAAAAAAATCAGCATTTTTGAAGAAATAAGTCCTGTGAGAAAAAATTCTAATTACTAGTTATTATCTGAGGTGATAGTTATTATAATAAAAATACTATTTTAAAAGGTCTATTAGAATCAAAATTATACTGAAATTATACTTTTCCTTATTCTTGCTTCATACATAAAGATATCAATTGAAAATTAAAGTAAATATTTTTATGTTTAAAAAAAGCTCCTAATGCAAATGCTTTGCTTTTAAAACGGTCTAGAAGGGACTTTCCTCCATAATTATTTTGGTTAAAATACAGAAACTAGGTACCAGTTAGGGGAAAATCTGTAGCTTTTTACATTGCTATGGTAATAATCTACATTTTCACATATTTGTACAGTCATAACATTCCACCCATAGTTTGCCCTGGAGCCATAAATGACTAGGTTGGTGCCATCAGCTGCTCTTATGACATTTGGAAAATGATGATCATTATCTTATTTACTGCCATTTAGCCAATGTAGAGAAAACAGCTTATAAATGAGGTTTCTTTTACAGAGGCAGCTGTAACTAGTGAAAAACTGCCAGGGGTTTTACCAGATAATATATATTAAGTACTCACAAGCTGGAATGAAAATTCCATGGAAAAATTGAGGGATACCCCATCTTCCTAGCATAATTATATGAGTGGTCTTATAGTCTTGGCACAGAAACCCTTAAACCTTGAAGAAATCTTGGTAAAGAGCTACTGAGATATCTGTGAAGTTAGAAAGGAAGTCCTTTAATGAAAAATCCTAGCATGGTTGAGAATACACTGTTGCCCATCTTCTAGCAACAACACTAGTAAGAGTGGGTAAATTAGTGAGAAGATAGGTGGGTAGGGAGCTAAACTACTAATACCAAACTTCTAATAATGGTTTGAAGCTAGTCTCTGAGTACTTCTGAGGGTTGAACTGGTCCATAAGTCACAGCCTTGTCCTGACTCAATTCTGTGTTCCAGGAGAGCAGAGACCATCTGGCATGTGGGACATGGCAAGTATCCACTAAATGTTTGTTAACAGTTGGCTTTATCTTATAGTCCTATCTTTATTTTGCTTTCATTATCATTTTCTGACTTATGCTTCTTCTACAGGCTTCCTTTGTGGAAGGGACAGGAGGATTATCAATAAATATTACATAGAAACATGTTAAATGTTGAGAAAAGTAAAAGGAGGAATGTAAATAGCGAAGTGCCACAAAAGACTTATAAACCAATGTGCTATGGGGTCTCAAAGGATGCAGAGGTCACACACAGAGAGAGGAATCATCTGAGATTTCATAGAGGAAGCGATTTTTACATGGTTATAAGCGATACAAAGGAGTGTGACTGGCAGAGAGTATTCTGAAAGATGAAGAGAACCAAGTCTTCTAATTCATTCAATCAATTGTACTCAAATAGTTATTTACTGATTCTAAAAGGGAAGCTTAGGATGCAAAACATAATATAACCTGCAGTATCAGCATAAGAAACAGTGAACCAGAAATTCTATCTTGTCTTTTGGCCAAGAAGAGGATAATGAGAGATTCCTGTTGAGAGAGGCAAACAAATTTATCACAATTTAGAAAGATACGTCAGGCTATTATTTGAAAAATTTTAAAGTTTATTTATTTATTTTGAGAGAGGGTGGGAGAGGGCCAGAGAAGGAGAGAGAATCCCAAGCAGGCTCCGTGCTATCAGTACAGAGCCCATGGTGGGGCTTGATCTCACAAACAGTGAGATCATGACCTGAGCCAATACCAAGAATTGGACACTTAGCTGACTGAGCCACCCAGGCACCCCTATTATTTGAATTTCCTTTTTTTTTTCAATAAAAATTGTTTACTTACACTTAGCTGACTGAGCCACCCAGGCACCCCTATTATTTGAATTTCCTTTTTTTTTAATAAAAAAAATGTTTACTTATTAATTTATTTTTGAGAGAGAGAGAGACACACACACAGAATCCAAAGCAGGCTCCAGGCTCTGAGCTGTCAGCACAGAGCCTGACGCAGGGCTTAAGCTCACAAACTGTGAGATCGTGACCTGAGCTGAAGTCAGACACAACAGACTGAGCCACCCAGGTGTCCCAATTATTTGAATTTTTAAAAAGAGGGTGTAATTTCTATTATTTATCTTAGGATTTTTCTTAGTCTATTCAGGCTGCTATAACAGAATATCACAGACTGGGTGCCTTATAAACAGCACAAATTATTTCTCACAGTTCTGGAGACTGGAAAGTCTAAGGTTGAGGTGCCAATAGATTCAGTGTTTGGTGAGGACTCACTACCTTGTTCACATAGGCCATGTTTTTGCTGCATGGAATGGGGAACTCTGATCTCTTGAGCACCTTATAGGGGTGCCAATTCTATCCATGACGGCTCTAGCCTCATGACTTAATCACTTCCCAAAGGCCTCTACACACCATCACATCAGGGATTAGGTTTCAACATATGAATTTGAGGAGAGGGGAGAGACACAAACATTCAGTCTATAAAAATGATAAAAGTCAAAATGTACTACTTACCAATCTAAAAGTTTCTACTCTTGGTCCAATAGAAACCATTAATCATCTCCTTACATCTCATGTTTACCTCCACCTGACCACTCAAACCTCACCTGAGAGTAATGTGCATTTTCAGGATATCCTCTGAGGCTGAAGAAAACTAAATCCGTCTTATGAGAAGGATCTCCTAAGCTTCATAGCACTATTCAAAGTCCTCTGAGATCTGCCTACACCTTACAGAGATCTGGCACATGCTTATAGCCACCATGACCCTGATGAACTCCAGAGGGTGAAGCTTCAAGGACCTTCACCAGAAGCTTCACCAGACCCTTTTACATGTAGACCCAAAGAATAAAGCCTTGAGGAAAAACTGCAGTGACTTCACTACCTGTGCAGACTCCTTGGTGAATTTTAGTTTCCTGAGGACCATCCATTTGCCCCAGTGGCTGCCATGCAGTACAAGATCCTTCTCAAGAGAGACATCATCTGCTGCTTATCCACAAGGGTATGGCCATACCCACAACTTCCACAGGCTGTCAGACAGGCATACCACAGGAGCCTGAATCTTTCATTTGCATTAAGAGGTTAGGCGTTTTAGCCATGACCACATTTATCTGACCAGGGTGCTTGTCTCTCAAGATTTTACAAGCACCAGTCTTGCCTTTAATGGTGTGGTTCACTGGAGCCCTAATTCCCATATCTAGAACATGGCAGTCTTATTTCTCAAGGCTGTATCTTGCTTCCAGGATCCCTTCCTGATATACTTTTTATATAGCGCCCCCTGAATCTTAAAGCCCTGCTTCCCAACCTTGTCTCACCTCTTGGGTAAGAGAATTTGAATTCTCCAGACACATGAAAAGATGCTCACCTTCACCCATCATCAGGGAAATACAAATCAAAACTACAATGAGACAGGGCACCTGGATGGCTCAGTTGGTTAAGTGTCTGACTCTTGATTTCAGCTCAGGTCATGATCTTATGGTTCTTGGGATCAAACCCCATGTCAGGCTCTGTGCTGACAGCATGGAGCCTGCTTGGGATTCTCTCTTTCCCTCTCGCTCTGCCTCTTCCCCACTCTCTCTTTTTCTCTCAAAATAAATAAATAAATATTTAAAAAAACATAATGAGGTATCACGTCACACATATCAGAATGGCTAAAATTAATAACACAAGAAACAACCAGTGTTGGTGGGGATGTGAAGACTGTTGGTAGGAATGCAAACTAATACAGCCACTCTGGAAGACAGTACAGAGATCCTGCAAAAAGTTAAAAATAGAACTAGCCTACAGCCCAGCAATTGCACTACTAGGTATTTACTCAAAGAATACAAAAATAAATTTGAAGGAATACATGCACCCCAATGTTTATAGCAGCATTATCTATAATAGCCAAACTATGGAAACAGCCCAAGCATCCATTAATTGATGAATGGATAAAGAAGATGTGATATATATATTCTATATAACAGAATATATATTATATTACACACACACACACACATATATATATATATATATATATATATATATATATATATATATATAAAACAGAATATTACTTAGTCCTAAAAAAGAATGAAATCTTAGCATTTGTAATGATGTGAATAGAGCTAGAGAGTAGTATGCTAAACAAAATAAGACAGTCAAAAAAAGACAAATGCCATATGATTTCACTTATACATGGAATTTAAGACAGAAAACAAATAAGCACAGGGGAAAAAAGGGAGAGAGAGAAACAAACCAAGAAACAGACTCTTAACTATAGAGAACAACCTGAGAGTTACCAGAGGCAATGTGTGTAGGGCAATGGGTTAAATAGGTGTTGGGCATTAAGGTATGCACATGCTGTGATGAACACCATATGCTGTATGGAAATGTTGAATCACTAAATTGTACACCTGAAACTAATATTATACTTGATGTTAACTAATGGAACTTGAATAAAACTTAAAAAAAGAAACAAACAAACAAACAAACAAAAGAACAGATCAATGAAACCAGGAGCTGGTTCTTTGAAGAGATCAGCAAAATTGACAAACCTTTAGCCAGATTCATCAGGAAAAAAAAAAGAGGCAGTATTCAAATAAGCAAAATCAGAAATGAAAGAGGAGAAATACAACTGACACCACAGAAATACAAAGGATTATAAAACAGTATTATGAAAAATTATATGCCAGCAAATTGAATAATCTAGAAGTAATGGATAAATACCTAGAAACTTACAACCTCCCAAAACTGAATCATGAAGAAATAGAAAATCTGAACAGACCAATTACCAGCAAAGAAATGGAATCAGTAATCAAAAAACTCCCAACAAACAAGGTCAAGGACCAAATGGCTTCACATGGGAATTCTACAAAACGTTTATTATTTTTTTAATCTACAAAACATTTAAAGAAGAGTTAATACCTATTCTTCTCAAACTATTCCAAAAAACACAAGAGGAAGGAAAGCTTCCAAATTCATTCTTTGGTGCCAGCATTTACCCTGATACCAAATAAAGATACCATCAAAAAAGGTAACTACAGGACAATATCTCTGATGAACATAGATGCAAAAATCTTCAATGAAATATTAGCAAGCCAAATCCAACAATATATATATGAAAAATCATTCACTATGATCAAGCAGGATTTATTCCCAGGATGCAAACGTGGTTCAATACTCACAAATCAATCCACGTGATACATCACATCAGTAAGAGAAAGGATAAAAACCATATGATCATTTCAGTACATGCAGAAAAAGCATTTGGCAAAGTACAACATCCATTCATCATAAAAAACCCACAATGAAGTAGATTTAGAGGGACCATAACTAAATATAATAAAGGCCATGTATGAAAAACCCACAGCTAACATCATATTCAATGGTGAAAACCTGAGAGCTTTTCCCCTAAAATCAGGAAAAAGACAAGAATGTCCACTGACCACTTTTATCCAATATAGTACTGGACGTCCTAGCCACAGCAATCTGCCAAGAAGAAGAAATAAAAGGTATTCAATTTGGTAAGGAAGAAGCAAAACTTTAGCTATTTGCAGATGACATGATACTATATATAGAACACCCTAAAGACCCACCCAAAAAACTACTAGAACTGATAAATGAATTCAATAAGGTTGTAGGATACAAAATCAATATACAGAAATCCATTGCATTTCTATACACTGATAGCGAAGTACCAGAAAGAGAAATTAAGAAAGCAGTCCCATTTATAACTGCACCAAAAAATAATTAAAAACCTAGGAATAAACTTAACCAAGGAGGTAAAAGACCTGTACTCTGAAAACTATAAAACATTAATGAAAGAAATTGAAAGACATTACATGCTCATTGACTGGGAGAACAAATATTGTTAAAATGTCCACACTACCCAAAGCAATCTACATATTTGATGAAACTCCTATCAAAATACCAACAGCATTTTTTATAGAACTAGAAGAAATAATCTTAAAATTTGAATGGAGCCACAAATCCTGAGTAGTTAAAGCAATCTTAAAAAAGAACAACAATGGAGGTATCAGAAACCTAGATTTCAAGACATACTACAAAGCTGTAGTAATCAAAAACAGTTTGGTACTGGCACAAAAACAAACACACAGATCAACAGAACAGAGTAGAGAGCCCAGAAATAAACCCACAATTATATGGTAGTTTATTTTCAACAAAGGTATCAAGAATATGCAATGGGAAAAGACAATCTCTTCAACAAATGGTGTTGGGAAAATGGAACAGTTACAAGCAAAAGAATGAAACTGGACCACTTTCTTACACCATATGAAAAAATAACTCAATGGTTTAAGGACCTAAATGTGAGACCACAAAAAGCCTAGAAGAGAGAACAGGTAGTAATTTCTCTGACATTAGCCATAAAAACATTTTTCTAGATATGTCTCCACAGACAAGGGAAACAAAAGCAAAGATAAACCATTGGGACTACATCAAAATAAAAACCTTCTTCACAGCAAAGGTAAACAACCAACAAAGCTAAAAGTCTACCAAATAGGAGAGGACATTTGCAAATGACATATTTGATAAGGGGCTGGTATCCAAAATATATAAAGAACATATAAAACTCAACATCCAAAAACAAATAATCCAATCAAAAATGGGCAGAAGACATAAATAGATATTTCTCCAAACAAGACAGATGGCCAACAGACACATGAAAAGATGTTCAACATTACTCATCATCAAGGAAATGGAAATCAAAACCACAAGATATCACCTGACACCTGTCTGAATGGCTAAAATCAACAACCCAAGAAACAATAGGTGTTGGCAAGGATGTGGAGAAAAGGGAACCCTCTGGCACTGTTGGTGAGAAAACAAACTGGTGCAGCCACTGTCCAAAACAGTATATAGGTTCCTCAAAAACTTATAATTAGAACTACCATATGATCCAGTAATTCCACTATTGGGAATTTACCCAAAGAATATGAAAACATTAATTTGAAAAGATGTATATTCCCCCGTGTTTACTGCAGTATTATTTGCAATAGCTAAATTATGGATGCAGCCCAGTGTCCATTGATAGATGAATGGATAAAGAAAATATGTGTATCAGTGTATCATATATATATATATATATATATATATATATATATATATATATATAATGGAATATTACTAAGCCATAAAAAATAATGAGATCTTGGGATGCCTGGCTGTCTCAGTCGGTTAAGTGCCCAACTTCAGCTCAGGTTATGATCCTGTAGTTCGTGAGTTTAAGCCCTGCATAGGGCTCTGTGCTGACAGCTCAGAGACTGAAGCCTGCTTCAGATTCTGTGTCTCCCTCTTTCTCTCTGCCCTGCCCCTACTCATGCTCTGTCTCTCTCATTCTTTCAAAAATAAATAAACATTAAAAAATAAAATAAATAAAGTAAAAAGAGAATGAGATCTTTCCATTTGTGACCACATGGAGATAGATAGATAGATAGATAGATAGATAGATAGATAGATAGATATAATGGAATATTAACTATAAAAAAGAATGAGATCTTGGCATTTGTAACAACATGAATGGACCTAGAGAGTATTATGCTAAATGAAATAAGTCAGACAGAGAAAGACAAATACCATATGATTGCACTTACATATGGGATCTCAAAAATAGAACAAATGAATAAATAAACAGAAAGAGACTCATAAATACAGAGAGCAAACTGGTGCTGCCAGAAGGGAGAAGGCGGGGGGGGGGGGGGATGGGCTAAATAGGTAAAGGAGAAGAGGTATAAACTTTCAGTTATAAAATAAATAAGTCATGGAGATGAAAAGTACAGCATAGGGAATATAGTCAGTGACATTGTAGTAATGTTGTATGGTGACAACTGACAACTGCATTTACTGTAGTGAGCATTGCATAACATACAGAATTGTCAAATCACTATGTTGTACACTCAAAACTATATATATATATATGTATATATATGTGTGTGTGTGTGTGTGTGTGTGTATGTGTGTATATATATATGTGTGTGTGTGTGTGTGTGTGAACTGTACTTCAGTAATAAAAAGTTTTGAAATAATATGCAAATATAGTCTACCACACTGTCAAGCATATGCTTATATTCCCAAATAATTTTTCCTAGTTGTCTAATGTATATAGGATTTGCCTTTTCAGTTTAGTTACATCTAGTAATTATATTAATAACTACTTATTTAATACCTGTATTTACACAAGCCACTTTGTAAACATACAATACAATAAATACATGTTAAAAATTTTAGGGTTATTTTCTCCCTGAGAACCAATCCCATAACCTCAATTTGTTTCTTATTTTTAGTTATGCCTCACAGCACTAGAATGCACAGATACACAGTGAGCAATCAATAATTCATTACAATATTAGTTAATAAAGTAAATGAGGGATTTAAGGTTTACCACAAGCAAATGATAGTGAGAACTCATGATCAACCTAAAAGACTAGAATGCTTGGAAATCACCTGTTTGAGGAATTTAATAAATCAACCACGAAATGTCAAAGGGAAAAAAGGTCTTCATTTTTTAGCTCCTTGGGTCACCCTAGACCTCCAAGAGGTCCATGTATCAATCTACTTAATATGCAGAAAATAAAATAAAACAAATAAGTAAACCCAAATTTCCCCTCCTGCCTGAAAATAACATATGTGAAGGATGGTGGAAATCTAGAATGTGATGTTTTCCATGTTTACATTCACATAGACCCAATGCGGAAGTGGTTAGTTGATTTAGGATTAGTAAAGCTAAGGAAATCAGGAAGGAATCAGTTCCCCTGCTCAGAATTTGGTTTCTAGAGACTCCTCTTAGAAGTCATGATAGTCTTCTCTGAAAATACTTCCTTTTGAATCAAGTGCATTTTGAAAAGTAGAAAGCTGTAACAGAAAAAGGATGGGATGAATGTGAGTTAATGAGGGAACAATCATTCACTAAGCACCAAGTACTTCTCAACTTCTGTGCTCTGTACTTTGTGCATGCTATCGCAACTAGTCTGGACAGCACCTTATACACAAGAAAGTTGAAGTTCTGGGAAGTGAAATAACTTGTTCCAAGTCACCCAGTGGCTATGTCAGTCTCCTAACCAAGGTCAGTCTGAGCAGAGAGACAAAGTTCTCTCCCCAATATTAAGTTACCAATCCAACTCAACAAACAGCTATTGAGCTCTTGTGTCCAGCACTGTTCCAGCACCAGAAACATGGCATGGAACACAAAGTCACTGTCTTTGAAAAGTCTACATTCTAGGGATTCCCAAATCATCATTCAGGATATTTAGGATCATTTAAGATATCTCTAGAATGTCTAGAGAGACACTGAGAAAGGAATGACAATGCTATCCGAGTTTTAAGTCAATCAGAACTCCACCCAGAGATTTTTTTTTTTTCACTTAAGAAAATTTTTAAATTTTATTTTAGAGATGAGGGAAGGGGCAGAGGGAAAGAGAGAATCTTAAGTAGGCTCTACCCTCAGCACAGAGCCCAACACGGGACTCGATCCCACGACCCTGGGATCATGACCTGAGCTGAAATCAAGAGCTAGACACTCAACTGACTGAGCCACCCAGGGGTCCGTGTATTCATTTTTATAGGGCTCTCTAGAACCAGAGTAACTATTTTCCTTTATTTCAAAATCAATGAAGGGCAGAGAGGATATGCAGACACTGATGATATTTGAAAGGATCTGATTGATATTTCATAGATGTTAATTTCATGATTCATCAGCTACTACTATTACTCCACAATGCCAAACTGTATTATATACCAGGAGACACCAGGGTGCAGTTTGGTAATTATTTCTTGTGTCATATTTAATAAAAGAAGTCATATTCTCCATTCTACACAGACACTCCATGTAGCTGCAATTGCAATTCTTATCCTGGCCTTTCTTTGACCCCCAAATTTCTAAAGCCTTTGGAGAAGAATTTAGACTGGCCCGAACTATAAAGAAAATTGAATTTAGCAACTCATTTCCAAGAATCTCCAAAGTTTGTTTATATAGTTGAGCAATGTAAAATCATTCTTGAATATCAAACAGAAAACTTCTACATCCACAATTTTTCCCTTTAAAGACAGAATAAAAATATACCAGAGATTGTCTTGAGATTTGGTATCACGTTGACCTAAAGATTCAGGTAAACATGAACCTAAAACAATTTTGGATCTACTTTGACCTCAGCAATAAGGAGAAGTCTTTGCATTGGAATGAGAAAATTAGCAATTTTGAGTGTGACCTTATATTGTCAACATTTTGACCAAGACCAATGTTACAGAAAATATTACCATCTTATTTCTTGTTTGTTCCAGTCCCTTCCCAGGTGCCTCCTAAAGAACATTTCTAAAAGTGAACCACATGGAGATTTGGGGGCAGCCGGAAGTACCTTTACTCACTTGTAGTTTTAATAAATATTTTTTTTAGTCTAGACACATTCTTGCCATGCCAAAAAAAAAAAGAAATTCAGAGGTTTAAATGTTGAAGTTCTTACCCTTAGTAAATGTTA